GAGGCCACTCAGAGAGGCCCAGGGATTGACCATGGTGCCCCAGTCTGCCTCTGTGAATGCTGCAGTCATGTTTCTGTGCAACCCACTGCAACTTTTGTGGAGCTGGATGGGTGTTTTGTTCAGCTGGACAGCAAGATGAGGAGGGCAGGTGACAGTAGCCCTCTTCATTTCTACAGACAGGGTTTTGGTAGGAAGAGGATATAGAGGACAAGGTTCTTCTCCATGCTCAGCAGTTTCTCCAAAGGGGTGAGAGTCCATTGATCCCTAGGGCTGGGGAATGCCTGATTCTGGACCTCAGGACTCCTTACACTGCCAGGTTCAACACTGCTCTTGTCCTCTTCCTCTTTCCCAGACTGCTGTCTTCTGAGCTGACAGACTATAGAGATCAGGGATTCCAGCCTGACCCTTCCTGCTCTGAGGCCTCCAACACCTGAATCTGGTGGCTCAACCATCCTCCTGACCTTGGCAATTTTTTTTTATGTTTAAATTATAAGTATGGTTTCTGTCTCCTCATTGATCCCTACATCTATATCATTGAATAAAGAAGAGAGATGTAAATCGATATAAATAGCACTGAACAATAACCTCGCCATTGCTCTTGACTCTGTGGGTGAAGAATTTGGTATGGATCATGGGGAAACAGCTGGATTCTGTTGTTTTAGCACTGGTTAGGAAGTCTCGACTAGACCTGGAGAATTCAAGATAGTCTCACTGCTACATCTTGAATGCCTCAGTTCTCTTTCATGCAGTCTTTTGTTTTTCTATTGACACGGCCCCTGATCATTTCAAAATTGAATCCATGTATTTTGATATAGTGACTGACTCCCACAAAGAGAATGAAAGCTAAAAACTTGAGGCCTAGACCTGAAATAATAGCATTGGTTACAATGAATTATCATGCTCAAGGCAAGTCACATAGCTGGCCTAAATTTTTGAAAACAAATAGACTTTACTCATGAATGAAGTGAGTGGCAGTGAATTATGTTACAGAAAACAAAACAAAAAAGCTTATATAAGATAGGCCAGATTGTTGGAGCTATGTTATGGTTTAGGCAAAAAATGTACCTTGCCATCTCATATTCAGAGGTGGCGCCTGATCAGAGGATTGCGTCACTAGAGGGTGTGACCAAGAAGGGTGTGTTTTTGTCCCGTTTCCTCACTTTCATGCTGCGGTCATCCTCTGCTATGCCGCTCTGCCCGTACCATTTCTGCCTTGGAGCCAGCCAACACGGACTGCATTCACTGAAACTAGAAGCCAAAATAAGCCTCCTCTTCTTTAAATTGTTAGGCATTTTGTCCCAGTAATAAGCAAATGACTAATACAAACTATACTTGGAAACTATATTTGTCTTTTTTACCCCATTTCTTGCTAACCCAGGCTTATCAGATACTGCCAAATTATGATGTCGCGTAACTGTCCACCTCTTTGATGAAAAAGCACAGAAGGAATTAGGCTCTTCTCAGATAGGCCCTATTCATCTTTTTTGTTTGTTCATTTGTTTTGTTTTTGCTTTTTGAGACAGGATCTTACCAGGTAGTTCACTCTTGCCTTGAACTACAATGATGTCTAACTCACAGTAATCATCCTGCGTCAGCCTCTTGAGGGCTGGGATTATAGGCATGTGCCACAATACCTAGCTGGCCCTGTTCATTTTGATGATCTTACTTTAGTCTTCTCAAGAGGTATCTTTTTTGCTCAAACTTCCTCAGTGCAAATATTCACTGTGAACATGAGGCAGTGACACTACAAAACCCATTACCTCCCTTCCATGATGGAAGTCATATGATGCAAAACCAAGCAAGTCTATCTGAAAGATAGCACGATTACTGTCAGGCTCCTGAGTTCTTCTCCCATCCCAGTAAGAATTACAAGGCAGAGAGTCAAGAGAGAAATAAGCAAAAGCATTTGTTATAGAGCTAAAGCAATACCAAGAGAAGACCTTTGTCTAGGGACTTTTGTACACAAAATGTTTACACTTCACACCACTCTGGGCCAAGTTGAGGCCAGCCTATGAGGTTACAGGCAGGAAAGTTTGACTTAGAAGTGGGCCTATAGGAACTCAGGGTATATAACAAGCATATTTTTGCAAGCATCATTATTATAACTTTTCTAAAATTATCTGAGAGAGGAGACCACCTCCCAGGGTAAAACTGGACAGTTATGGGTTAACTGTACAGCTAAGCTGCTTTGGGAAATTGATGTGGCTGGGCTCCCTGAAGAGAATGATAGTTTTGATCCGGTCATGTACGGATTCAGTTGTGAGGTAAATGTCAGTGGAACACAGACTTGGAAAGCTTGTTCCTGTCTTGTGGATCACTGTTTGTTTCCTTTTAACCATTGCTTTTGCTTCTGTAACTTTGCTTTGTTCTGATTTCTAATGAGAAATTACCCCATAGGATAAAAACAATATAAAAGTAGGAACAGGACTTTGTTCTGGGCTCTCTTGTGGACATTAGTCACTTAAAAAACACCAGTAATGAACGGCTTTTTGGCCTGTTACTCTGTCTTGTTAGTTCTGTTGGAGATGCCCATGCAGTCTTCTGCTTAACTCAGCACAGGTAGAACAAAATTCAGAAGGGTATGAATGGAGATTTGATGGTACTGGTTACCTATCACCTTGTTTTAAACACAAGAGGACCCTGTTAGTATAACATAGGGTCCTTAATCATCAAGCCACTGAGGCTCAGGGCCTGGCCATCATGTCCACATCCTGGGGCCTCGATTTTTGTTAACTCGCAGTCCCAGGCTTGTCTTTCACTGGGTCATCCAGACTCCCTCTGGGACTGGCTTTTTCTTGGCTGCCATCTTGCATGATAAACAATCCCCTCATGGGCCAGCATCACTCTGAAAAGTTTTCTCACTTTCCCACAGGGTCCTGCTTGTCCTCAACATTTTCTTATACACACAATGTTTTCCTGGAACTGACTGTTTAAATCACTATTGGGTGCTTCTTTGTAGGGAAATGATACCTAAGACTTAAGAAAAATGAAACATAAGTCCAACTGTGCAGAGGGCTCTCAGTTCATCTCCCCCAAGTTGTTCTCTGCTTCCCTGTTTCAGGCAACAGGAAGGAGGCCTGGCCATCCATGGTCAGGGTCCTCAACATAACAGATCAGCTGAGCTTCAGAACCCCCTGTTTTTTCCTGCCATAAGCATCAAGTCCATGCAATCTGGCGTCTCACCTACCTTCTCAATAATTATTGCTATTGATTTTAAGCTGAACAGATAGGAACATCACTTAAAGTAACTCTGCACATAAATCCACTTAGAATAACTTTCTCCCTAGAGAATCTATTGGTGAACTACAGGGCCCTAACATGTATTCTACTTAGACACCACTGGACAGTGTACACTTCAGGTTAGAATATCATGTACTTCAGGTTAGAACTGAGCACTAGGGGTTGGGGATTTAGCTCAGTGGCATAAGTGCCTGCTTTGCAAGGGTGTGATCGTGAGTTTGATCTCCGGTACCGATTAAAAAAAAAAAAAAATAGAACTGAGCACTTGAAAAACTACACTAAAATCTCTTGAACTGTACATGGGAATCATCCCTATTTTATGGGCTAAAGACAGTCTAAAATATTAGCCATCATGTTATTTTGAAACATTTGCTTCTGAAGTTGAAAGTTTCTCTTCTACTGCTTCTTTTGGTACTGGAGCTTGACCTGGGGCACTCTACTACTGACCTACATCCCAATCCTTTAAAAAATGTTGCTTTCTTTTCTTTTCTTTCTTTCTTTCTTTTTTTTAGAGTCTAAGTTGCTACAGCTGACCTCAAACTTGAGATCTTCATGTCTCAGCCTCCTGATTAGCTGGGTATCAGGTGTGTCCACCATGACTGGTTAAAGTCTTACTCATTTTTCAAGTCTTAGTTCTAAGGGCTTCTCCCCAGGTTGGTGTTTAGGCTATATTGTTATTTTATGCTAAGTAGTAAAAGGAGGATCCTCTGGGTTGATACTGTTTCCCACTAAGGCACTAGGCAGAGTTCAATGCCCAGGCATCTCCATAACTGTATATCCTGCATGTCTGGTTTGTTTTAATCTGTTTTTTGTTTTTGTGGTGCAGGGAATCAAATTTAGGACCTCATGCATGCTACACAAGTGCTCACCTATGAGCTACATCGCAGCCCCTGGATAGTTAATCTTTTGTGTTGACTTGTATCACTTCTAAGTAGTTTGTTAGAACTACTAAATTAATATTTATTAATTAATGTTTTAATGTTAGAACTACTAAATTAATGCTTATTAAATTTATGTTCATTCAAGGATCTATAACAAGATAAAAAGATTAAGAAGAGCCATTTTTTTCTGAGACATTTCTGGATTCATTTGAAGAAAACAGGTGGCCAAACATACCCAAATTAGATATTGAAGTTGAGTTTTTAAAAATAGACATTTAAAATTCTAAATTCTTCAGAAAATATATTTTAATTCCTTAATTTTTTCTATTATACAAGTGGATTAAAAGTTAACTACCCATATTTTACCCAACGGTAACCCTGTACCCAAAGTCAGAAAGCCCTTTTCTGCTCATTAGCTCATCCATGTCTCAGTCCTCAGGTTCTCTTTCGGCTAAAAGATTAGCCACACTTACAGAACCCTCTCGGATTTCTTGAAAAGTATCTTCTCTTTGTTGAGGATCCTAATTTCTTGTCAAGTAGTAAATGAAGCCCTTCCCTCCAACTCTATTTTCACAGAATGATCAGGAAGGGAGCAGTAGCAACCGGTAAACCGCCAAATCTCCCAGAATGTAAACATAAAGAAAAAGTCCCACTATCTTCCGACCAGCTCAGAGCAAAGAAACACTTGTTCAGTCTGCTCTGCCAGGCGTCCTCCTCGATTTCATCTTTTTCTCGCCCCAGCCTCCAGGCCATCAAGAGTAGCTGTAGTTGTCCTTCCCCGCAGTTGCCAATAAAGTTGCTACAAAGTGACCTTGAGCGTCTTCCCCCTCTAGTACATCCGCCACCCCGCCTTCCCCATCCGGGTGCTACGGCACAAATAAGACACTGACTGCGCCTGCGCGCCCAGCTCCACTCCTTCGACCTCTACCGCCGCCGCAGCCGCCGCCACCTCGCGGAAAGGTAAGTGGAGGGCGCGGGAGCAGGGCCCGGTGCGGGCGGAGCAGCGCTCAGAAGAGACCCATTCATTCTGCTGGCGCCTCGCTGGGCACGCAGCCCGCGCTGACGGCGTGCACGGGAGCCCTCGGGGCCTGGGTGGAAGGACAGGCCCCAGGAGGACGCTTGACCTTAAGCCTCTTTGCCTCTACAGAGAGGAAGCGGGAGAGGAGCCCACGCCGCCTGTCACCCACATTCTCCAGCCGCGCCCCTCGGAAGACTAAAATGTTCGCCTGCGCCAAGCTCGCCTGCACACCCGCTCTGGTGCGTAGCCACGCTGGGCCGCTGACCCAAGGGCCGCGCCTCTTGGCCTGCAGCGTCCACGTTGTTGGCTGGGCAACCTGCGGGCTGGGCACACATTCCTTTTGGGAACAGCTCTCCCCTTGCTCCTTAACCCGATGCCCTTATCTTTGTAATTTTGGGCGTCTCAGATCTCTCCTTCCCTCCTCGAGGGCGAAGGAAATCAGCCAAGGCCTAGCTGTCAGGCCTGTTTGGTGTAGGTCAAATCCTCCGTGTCCCGCGTTCCCGAGTTTCCACTTCCGCAATCTCTTTTGGTCTGGGGTCGACGTCAAGGTTGGGGTCTGGGGAGAGTGGTGAAGGTCGCTGAGGCCTGGCTGTCTACAGCAGTGCTCACCAAAGCCTCTCTGTAGGTCAAATTCCCTACTGCAGAGGGAGGGATTTTGCCTCACCGTGTGTGGGCGGAGGAAGGTGGCAGTGGCCAGAAAGCCGAAAGCTTTTTTCTTCCTGTCTCTAGAATATTATTTCCATAACCATTTTGGCGGCTTTGTCTTAGAGAATCAAGTCTTGATTCTGAAGGGAGGGATTTTTCTGTGACCTTAGTGTAGTGGACACTCAAGGGCAGAGAAGCTAGTGTGAAATACGTCCTTGTGAAGAGACTTTCACTGATTGTTCTTAAGCTAATACAAACTACTTACACTTCTTTTTAAAAATTTTATAATTAGTGAGTATATAGGAATAACCTTTAGAATAGTGAGAGCTCGTATTACTGTTGGGCCATTTTAAATGACAGTGTTTATAGTAACACTACCAATGCACTTGTTGGTCCACATAACTTACCAAAGAATGTAGGGGTGTTCACTGAATTGTGGTATTATAATAAGTGAAATGTCTCTAGTAATGCTTATTCTCTTTTTAATGAATTGCTTTTAGAATTTTTGTTCAGAGTACTACAAATAAGTTGTGTAGCATGTTTTTGCAATTTTATTAGCATAAAACCTTATGAAAATTGCTTCATGTATAGAAAATGGCAAAGTAACCAGGATGGTTTAGTGTAGACAAGTCTTATTTTGTTGCTTACTTTTTAAAAAACTCTTGGTACAAGAAAGGTCATTGAAGTTGTGACTGTAATTTTTTTTTTTTTTTTGTCTTTTTCCTTTTTATGAGGTAGCGGGTATCGAACTCAGGACTGCCTGCACTTATGCTGCTGAGCTAAATCTCCAGCTCCCGACTGTAATTTTAATACTTAGAATTTTTCTTTTTTCATTAATAGATCCGCGCTGGATCCAGAGTAGCATACAGACCAATTTCTGCATCAGTGTTATCTCGGCCAGAGACTAGGACTGGAGAGGTAAGAGAAGTAATGGCAGAAACTAGGTAATACTACCAATTCAGTCTAATAGTTTGCTTGTAGTAGAGGAGAGAGGAAACCTCATTAATGAATGGTTTGAGAACAATCCTTTTCCACAATTTTATTCAAAAACTATGTAGAGGATGACCCAATGAGAAGAACTTCTATATCTGAAATTTAGCAATCTAAGCAAGCCAGTGAATATTGTTGTCAGTATTTATTTTGAAGTTTATAGTTTTGAGTTCCATGTATTTAAGCCTATAATAGCCAGTAACCAAAAACACTACCCTATTGAAAAAATACTCATATATGCTGTTTTTTTAGCAGCCTTATAAGGTATAGACATTATTAACTGCATTTTGTGAGATCAGAATGATTCTAAGCTCTTGATTTTTTTGTTGTGCCATAAGCTGCCCATTCACATTCTGCTGCAATAGAGAAGTGGTTATCATTTTGACAGTACAATATTTCAAATAGCTGTGATTACTGATTTAACCTTTGCCTTTATTTCCTGTTCCCTAGGGCTCTTTGGTATTTAATGGAGCCCAGAATGGTGTGTGTCAGCTAATCCGAAGGGAGTTTCAGACCAGTGCAATCAGCAGAGACATTGATACTGCTGCCAAATTTATTGGTGCAGGTGCTGCAACAGTAGGAGTGGCTGGTTCTGGTGCTGGTATTGGAACAGTCTTTGGCAGTCTTATCATTGGTTATGCCAGGTAATCATTTCTATCCCTGAGTAAGTTAAAGAAATAGTTGAAAATTATGCTTATAATAGTTGGAAACTTAGAACATTAGTGAAGTAACAAAAGCTATTTTGTACTGAGTGCCTACTGTGTGTTTTGTAGTATAGTTTCAGAGCCTAATTTAATCAGAGGGACCAGAAAAAAATGTCAAGATCCATTTAAATTGATACACAAGGACAGCTTCCTATTTTAATTCCATATGATTAGGTTTGGGAAGAAAGGAATGTGAAGCAAAAGAGATCTAGGCAAATACTCTTCCAGCAAACTTTGCAGTTTGCAAATATCCTCATGAGTAATTTGATTAACATTTACCAAAAATGTTGAAATTAATATTTCAAAGTAACTGTCATGTGTTGTATCTCTTTTAGAAACCCTTCGCTGAAGCAGCAGCTGTTCTCATACGCTATCCTGGGATTTGCCTTGTCTGAAGCTATGGGTCTCTTTTGTTTGATGGTTGCTTTCTTGATCTTGTTTGCCATGTAACAGAAATTACTGCTTGAAATGTTGGCACTCATAGTAATTACGGATATAATTCTGTGTATCTTACTGTGACTCTGATAACCGTAGTGTTGGTGTCATGGAAATGTACATTATTTCCAAAGTCATTTCATTAAAGATGAAAACTTTAATTTTTGCTGTGATTTGTACTTATCTAAATTTAGATCATCGCAAAGAAGATGCATTCAGGCAAATACTCTTCAATTCAGAGGAAGCTGTAGCACTTTCCCCAGTGATGAAAAAAAAGTCTAATATAATTTTTGTAGGAATTCTTTTATATAGTATTCTACACATTGAAATTTACAGAGCTTTTTTTAGTCACATAAAGGAGAAATAATAGTTCATCAAGCTCACATGAAATATAATTAGTTAAACCACGATCATTGCTTAAGATGGTTTTGTATTTTTAAGAGTTACCATGAATTAGAATACTTGAAAACAGAGGCACCCGAGTTGACTCGGCCAGGTGTATACAGCTGGATCAAAAAATAAATGTATCAGTTTTTAAAGACACAAAGCCTTAAATTGGGAGGGAATATGATTTTTGTTTTTCAGTAACTCACATAAAGCAATTTGTGTCTGTAGTGAATCACCATCTGTCTGACTGGCACCTTGCTTCTTATTTGAACAAGACTCATCAAAACCAATTATCAAAAACTGAACTGACATTGGCTACATTTTTTTTTTTTTTTTTTGCTACCTGGGGTTGAACTCATGACCTCATGCTTTGCTGGGCAGGTACTTATACCAGTGAGTTAAATCCCTGGCCCATTGGGTACATTTTTAAAAGCCACAAGTTTCCAGTGCTTATCACTTTTGCTAATATGTATGGTGGGAGTCTTGGGAGTGACAGTTGGTTTAATAGTATCCTGCTTCTAATATTGTATGTTGCTGCTTGGTCAAAATTGTCTTAGAAGGAAAAGTGGTGTTCCTATAGAGACTGCCTTTTTATCCTAACAAATAAACCATACCATCATATTTGTCATCTGAATTTGTGTTTATATGAAAGTTCAGACAATTAGGAAAGCTGCATTATACTACTTTAGTGCTCTTTGCCTAACTTAATTTCAACTGAGAATAGTCAAATACAGGAATTTTTGAATTATGGAAAATCTCTGAGAGAAAACCTCTATCAGAATCCTATAGGTTGCTTATTTAAAATACAAACCCTTAATCTCTAGACCTACCAAATCAGACTCTTCAGCGGTGAGATTTTTTTTTTTTTTTTTTTTTGTCGGTACCAGGGATTGAACTCACAACTGCCCGCTTGCAAGGCAGGCGCTTATGCCGCTGAGCTAAATCCCCCAGCCCCCAGCGGTGAGATTTTGCAATTTTAGTTTTTAAAAAAGTCTCAGATAATTTTTGTGCATAATTGTTTGACAATCACTTTATGTTTGAAACCATGTATAGAATAAGGTCTAAAAGAGGTACAGCTAGAACTACAATTACTTAGTTGACTAATTCATGTAGTCTCTATCAAATATGTAATTACTGGAACCCAAACTGTTTCTTCAGTGGTACTACCCAGTGTTTGAGCTCAGCAAATTCAGCAAAATCCATCTTGGATACATATCCCAAAGAACTGAAAATAGTTACTCAAACAAAAACGTGATAGGTGTTCATAGCAACAGTATTTATAGTAACCAAGTGTGAAAATCAGGTGTCCATTAATTGATGAATGGATAAACAATGTATATCCATATATTATTCAACCATAAGAAATGAAATACTAATACATGCAAAGTGAGTGAACCTTGAAAAAGTGCTGAGTGTAAGATACCAGATAAAAGGCTATATTTGCATGATTCCATTCAAGCCAATAAGCAGTTACTAAAGACCGGGAAGGGAAGAATGGAGAGGGACTTAATGAGTGTGGTGTTTCATTTTGAGGTAAAGAAAATGTTATGGAACTAAACAGTGGTGATGGTTGTACAACATTGTAAATCTATTACTGAACTGTATGCTTTAAAATGGCAAACTTTACATGTATTTTACTACAATTAAAAATTACTGTGTAACAAAGTACATGGTAAAATCCTAGCAATTTTAAAATCATAGGGAAATACTTAGATTAGTCCTGTGTTACAAATGCATTTTAAATAAAATCAGTCTTGGTGATCACCTATTCTTGATGCTGGTTTGGTAGTTGAAAAATGTTGAAACCTTTATCAAGAGATACTCCAGCTAAGGGATGCTCTTGAGTGTGAAAAAAATACCTGAGCTGTGGCTGCATAGTCCTCAGGTTACAGAGCAAAAAAAAATACTTCCTAGGCTGGGAAAGAAAATACTGCATAGGGGCTGGGGATTTAGCTCAGCGGCATAAGCACCTGCCTTGCAAGCAGGCAGTTGTGAGTTCAATCCCTGGTACCGATAAAAAACGAAAAACGACCCCCCCCCCCAAAAAAAAGACTGCATAAAAGGTCCAACATGCTGGAATATATCCTTTTGCTTACTATTTAATCTTTTATATGTTAGATTTCTGACTGAAACTATACCACTGGGATGTACCTACCATGTCAGCAGGTATGCTTATTTACCATTTTTATTTCAAATACCACCTCCTTAGTTTATGAGCTTTGCAAACAAATGTTAGTAAATGCTTTTAACTACTTTGTTTCTGAACATAGACTGAGATGTTACTTTCACACCAATCAAACACAAAATGAACTTTCTCTGTTGGTAATAATAGTTTATTTAGAACTCCCAAGGACAAGAGCATCCTAGAGCAATAACGTAGAAATTTGACCATATTTACTCAAAATATTGTTCCTTGATAAGGCATTTCAGTTTTTGTGGCATGCTTTTTATTTAGTCATATTGTTTCCTTAATGCAGAAGTATATTTTTGATGTCTTTGGGATTCACTCAGAAGATAGATTTGAGAATGAAGTCTGACTTGAGCTAAAGGGAAGCTTGTCATTGAAGGACAAACACGTAACTGGAATTCAAAGTGAAATGGTGAATTCAACAAGGATGGCAGTTTACTACTAAGATGTTCAGAGGAATTTGAAATAATTTCTAAGGAAGGAACATATGAAAAAATACTGTTTGTCTACAATACAAACCTGATGAGCTGTTAAAATGAGCACAGGCCAGAAGAGGTGGCTATCTTGGGTAGTGAACGGCATGAGGAGAGAAATCAACCAAGCATTGGGATGTGAGAAAACCGTTGTCCTGGGTATAGGAGGAAACTCGTGTGAGATAACGCTGAAAGGTAGACTGGGACCAAATTATGTATTCATGGGAGATACAAAACTGGATTTTATGACCATAGACAGCCACTGAAAGTTTAGAACTGTTTTAGAAAAGTTGATTTGAGACCAGTTTGTAAAAGGGACTGAAGCCAAAATGACCACTGGCAATTCTAGTAGCTTTGTTGAGAAAAAGGCCTTATCTAAAATGGTGGCAATAAGTATTTTTAAAAAGTCTGCCTAGATTGTTGCCTAGATCTTTAGAACAGGTCAGTAGAGGAGATGCTATTCCCTAGCTAGAAGCTTAATATATACTTTTAGCCCTCATGGCAACCCTGCCAAATTGAAGTTCATTTTCAAGATGCAAAGGAACATACTCTCAAAGGAGTTGAACAGTTACTCAAATCAGTTAGGCAAAGTTAGGATCCATATTTAAATCTTCCTTGACTCCAAAGTCCATGTTTTGATTTGTAATGTGACTATGTTAACGATGATGTAGGAAACTGATTTGAGTGAATTCTGCTCTTACATAATTTTAAATACAAAAGGCATAATTTTATAAGGGGATCTAGTGACTGGAAAGAGAAATAGTATAGTGCTCAGTGTGGAATAGATGTAAATAAAAGTACAGAGCAGCAGTAAGTACCTAATTCGCGGTAGATCATACAAATTCATAGTGAATCTCATTAACCTAGTTTTGTGACTCTCCAGCAGTGTTGGGAAGCTTGTTAGCCCAAACTGATAAAAAGAACAAGGGGGCTTTATCAGGGCTGGGCACTGATGAAATGGCAAGGTCAAGAGAGCAGTAAGCAGAAAGCAAACAAGTATACTGGTCAACAGGATAACCTGTGAACCCCAAACAGGAACAAATGAGGACACAAAGGGGACACATTGGACTAGAAGAGAGGGCCCAAGGTCCTTAGTAGAGGTGATAATCCACTCAGTAACAGGGAAAAAAATAACCAGAAATGTAAAAACCTCAGAGTTCTAGGTCATGGCAATAAGGTGGGTTTAAGGAATGATCAAACTTTGTGGTCAAGTTGCTAAGCGACCTAAGGTGGGTAGAAATAAATGTCACTGTAGTTTTAAAGAAGGATTGTAGGCAAATAGAAATTATCATTTGAGAACCAAATAAACTATACTCATGCTTTTGCTGAAAATTTTAAGTTCTGTGTATTAAGTTTAGCCAATATGATTTGGTTTGGGTGTTAAGTGTTTGGCAGAAGAAAATTTGTATTGTTATGGTGCTAATCTAAAATTTAAAATATTACATGGTTTCTACATATGAAATTACAAAAAAATTGTTGAATTCTCTATATCATATCAACTCATTAATGTCATGGTATTCTACTGATAAAATCATGAACTTAAGAGCCAGATGTATGGTCCATCAGTTACTCGCCCAATTCTTTACATTATCAAAGACAAAATTTATTATTATTTTCAGATCTAATACTATAGTCTCCTCTACCTCAACAAATAAGGAAGTTGTATTGTCTCTGCCAACATTATACCTTAATGTAATTATAATAGCCAAAACGTCATAAAAAGGGATTTTTTAGTGCACTGATTTCATGCACTTTTAAAAGTAGGTAGTGGTCCCTTACACACACACACACACACACACACACACACTTGCAAGTGGACATATTTCATAACGTACTAGAGATTGCCAGTCAGTGAAGTCTGGGGCAGCAGCATTGTCACCACCTAACAGCTGGCTGGGAATGCAGATTCTGGAGCCCCACTCAGCATCTACTGGATCAAAATTTGCATTTTCAGTGCATGGGTCTTAGGTGATTTGTATACTTACTAAATTTTGAGAAGCACTATACTAGTACGTTATAATTCCCAGGATGCCACAATTTACAATCCTTGTCTTTCAAAATGCTGTCCTTTGGGAAATAATCTCTCCCCAACCCCAAACTGGCATGTACTGCTAATCCAGGAATTCTGAAAGGGTGGTCTGATGACTTCTGGGGGCTTCCACTTTCAAAGGATTCACAAGGTCACCTTTACTACATAGCTGCCATATTAGCTTTTCCTTATGGGCTTCAAAATAGACCATACATAGAAGCAGATACAAAAACAGAGCCATCTTCTATTAAGCACGGCATAGCAACATACAAAAATAAATATGCTGCCTTGCAAGCGCATGATCCTGAGTTCGATCCCCGGTACCAATAAAAAATAAAAATAAAAATGCTATTCTAAGTTTTGTTTTGGAAAATACATTTTTAAAAAAACATGTTAATAAAAAATTAATTAATTAAATAAAAAAAAAACAGGGGCTAGGGATTTAGCTCAGCGGCATAAGCGCCTTCCTTGCAAGTGTGCGGTCATGAGTTCGATCCCTGGTACCGATAACAACGAAAAAGACA